CAGGCAGGCACAGGAACCAGGGTTCAATCTCATTCTCCGGCATGCCGTACCAGGCCAGCCCCTGGGGCACACTGAGAGGGTGACTGAGAGTGGGTGTGGTGGCATGCACCTGTAATACCAGTGCTTGGAAGCCTGAATACAGGAGGATCACTACAAGTTTGATCTGTGTAATGAGACCCTGTAGGCCCTGTATTAAACAAATAATAATAATAATAATACTGGGCCAGGGAGATAGCTCACAGGTCTAAGATCTTGCTTGGTAAGTGGAAGAACCCAGGTTTGATACCTGTGCCAACCCCACACTGAGAGGCCACCAAAACCAGGCATAGTGGAGCATGCCTATAATCTCAGTGCTAGGGAGGCTCAGACAGGATCACTATGAGTCTGATCAGCGTTGCGAGACCCTGTACCAAATACATAAATAAATAAATGATTATTTTTTAATTTTTAAAAAAAGACTGGACCCTTATAGCATATATATATATTAATTGAAACGGATCAAAGACCTATACCTAAACAGGCCCAGACCACGGCAGAACACTGTTTCTTCTAAAAATTAGAAGAAAAAAAAAAAAAAAAACAGGAGGAAAATTTCATGACTAGAATTGACAATTATTTTTTTAATATGACATGAAAAACTCAGGCAACAAGAGGGGGAAAAAAAAAACAGTTAAGTTGCAATTCATCAAAATTTAAAACTTTTGCCCAATCTGGCACAGAAGCACATACCTATAATCACAGCTACTCAGCAGCTAAGGATGGAGGATCACCGGTATAAGGCCAGCCTGGGCAACTTAGGGAGACTTTGTTTTAAAGGAAAAAATGAGGGGGCTACAAGTATAGTTTAGTGCTAAGTAGAGAACCCTGGGTTCAATACCCACCACTGCCTAGTTAATACAATTTTTGTGCATCAAAGGACACTATAAACAGATAAAAGGACCAAAATAGGAAAGAATATTTGTAAATCATGTATATGATAAGGGTTGATATCCACAATACATAAAGTGCTCTTATAATTCAACCACAGCAATAAAATTAACGTGATACAAAAAATGGGCAAAAGCCTTCAATGGACACTTCTCCAAAGATGACATAAAATGCCGGAGTACACAAGAACATGCTCAACATCACTAATCAAAAAGGAAATGAAAATTATAACAATGAGGTATCATTAGGATATCCACTAGGATGGCAATAAAAAAAATTAATAAGGAGTGTTGGCGAGGGTAAGAAGTGACTAGAATCCTTATGTATTGCTGAGAGGAATTCAAAATGATGTGCAATCTCTCCAGAAAGTATTACTACCGTGCCTCAAAAACTTTTGTGGAATTACCATACAATTTAACAATTACACTTCTGGGTATAAAACTGAAGTGAAAGTAGATGCTCAAAAAGATATTTTTACACTTAATGTTCATAGGAGCATTATTCACACCCAAAAGATCAAAACAACCCAAGTGTTCACAAATAAATGAATAAAATGTAGTGAGTACATACAATGAAATATTATTCAGCCTTCAAAACAAAGAAAATGCTGACACACTGCAATAAGGATTAAGGTAGAAGACACTGTGTGAAGTGAAATAAGCCAGTCACAAAGGACAAACATTGAACAATTCCATTTATATAAGGTACCTAGAAAAGAACATTCCCAGAGACATAAAAGAGAATGGTGGAGCTGGGGAGATAGCTCAGCTATCTAACTGCCTGCCTGGCAAGTGCAAGGTCCCAAGTTAGATCCCTGGTGCTGCATGCCATGCTGGCCCCGACCAAAACCATGGTGGAATCTCAGCGCTGGGGAGGCTGAGACACGAGGATCACTACAAGTCCTAACTACGTAGCAAGACCCTGTACCATAAAATAAAAAAGTAGAATGATGGTCCCAAGAAGGTAGAAAGGGGGTGGTGGAGTTTAAGGAGAGTTAGGGCTAAAGGGGTAGAAAATTTCAGTTTAGGAAGATGAAGTACTACTAGGTACAGATGGCAGTAATGGTTACATAACAGTGAATGGAATTAATGCCTCAGAACTATACATTTAAGATGGTAAATTTTATATTAGATATTTTATGATAAGAAAAAACTAGTAGTACTGATATATAAACTTTTCAAGAGATTATAAAAAGAGACTAGTTCAGAAATAATCTAATGAAGTCAATATATCTGACAAAACCAAGCAAGGACTTTACAACAAGGAAAAATAAGCTAGTGTCACTTACAAGCACAGATGCAACAAAACTAAACCAATAAAATCCAACAATATCTGAAAAGGATAATACATAAAAACTGAGGTTTGTCGCAGGAATGCAAGGTTAGTTTAACTGAAAGTAATTTCCCACATTAACAAAATAGACTCAATAAATATAATATTTTGTAATTCAATACCCATTCAATGTTTTTAAAATGTAATACAAAACCAAAAATAGAATTTCTTAACCCAGTAAAGGGTGTTCACTGCTAACATTGGTATAATATTTAGTTCTCACTACAACTGTGAACAAAAAGAAAATGTTTATTCTCACCACCACTTCTGCTCCACATTGTATAAGAGGTCCTCGTCAGTGAAATAATTTTTAAAAAGGAAGTAAAAGTTACAAGCAATGGACAAAAAGACATAAAAATGGAATTAATGGAGCAATTCACTTTCAAATCTCCCTACTCCTTCTGAGTAGCTGTCTACCACCTCTCTTTACCTCCTTTCCAATCTTTAAATACATTGTCTTCCTTCAGTTTAAAAAATGATCATTTATAGTTGACACAAAGGTATACATACAATTCAAAAGAACATATCAGAAAATGTTAATAAGCTAAAGAGCCAAAGATCTCAAGACATGAAAAGGAAAAGACAGATCACTGGGCATCAAAAAAAAAAATCACAAAAATAGAAACTACAAACTGAAAATATTATAAAACATAAATCTGACAAAGAAGTAACCCCCTCCTCCCAGCCCCCCAAAAATGAACCCCTAGCACATGGTCAGCCTGTATGAAGTCCTGGGCTCAATTTCTAAGTGAAAAAAAAGAAAGGAAAAAAAAATTCACAAACATCAAAAAGAAAAAGACAAAGACAGAAAAGCAACTTTTATTTTTTAAAGGCAAAATACAGAATTTACAAGAAGAGGATATCCAAACGGCCAACAAGCATATGAAAATGGTCAACATTATGCATTAAGAAAATGCTATCACTATGTACTCCTAAGGAATGTTAAAATTAAAATAAAAAACTTACAAAGTAATAGTGAAAATATTAAAAAAAAAAAGTGAAACAATTTCCATACATTGTTAGTGAGACAATAAATGAATGTGACCCCTTTGGAAAAGTATTTGACAGTATATATTAATCCTAACTATATGTCTACATTTGTGGTGGCTGCCTATGAAAAATTAATACATATATCTGTCTCAGTTACTCTTCTCTTATTGCTGGGACAAATACTAGACACCCAAAATAAAGGTAGGAAAGATTTATTTAGTTCACAGTTACTGGAGGTTTCAGTTCATACAAAGCTAGCTCTGAGGCAGACTGGCACATGGCAAAGGGCAGCAGTTCATGGAGGTGGAATACAGCAAAACAGCAAGAGCAAATGGGAGAAGTAGCAGCAACAATAATGCCAACAGAGGCAACAGAGAGGAAGTCTGTCTCCCTTAAATACATTCAGGATATCTGCCCAGGCTCGGTATCATACTCACATCCATAATCCCATCAGTACTAAAACCCACAATCTCAATGGATCATGAGTTAATCTCAAACTCTAGAAGTTCCCATCCCATGACTCCATGAGGCTTTGAGGGGACAACGACACACAAACCATAACAATATCCATCTAAGTACATGTACAAGACTATTCATAGTTTTCTTCATAACAGCCAAAACTGTAAACAACCATTAATAGGAGAATAGGTAAATAAGTTGTGGAATCGTTCTCAATGTAAAACTAAAGGCAAACCCCAAAACAAATTCCTGTTCATCCAATAAGATGTGCTAACCTCAGCCATAATATTAAGCAAAAGATGCCAGAAACAAATGATCCAGTTTAGATAAGATTCAAGAACAGGGGAAACATAACTTGACCAAAATGTAACAGCCACTTTTTTCATGAATGCAGAGTAAAGATTACAAAGTTACAAGGCGGGGGAGCCTTTTAGAGTGCTGGAAATATTCTATTTCAGGTGTGTTTATATTTTAAAAGTGAGGGTTTTTTTTTTTTTAATTCTTTAAATGTAAACATTAAGACAACCTTGGAGAAAGATGGGGAAGGAGTCAAGTTTCTAGAATACTATACTCAGTAACAGAGGCAATGAATTATAAACCTTGATGACCACAGTCATCAGTTTAAGCTTTCTTTTACTCACTAAAAAGTAGTGGTCTCTCACTACTTTTGGTCTCTCACTCTTTTGAGCTTCCACAAATATTTTGTATCCTCAAGTATAAAAGAATTGCTTGGCATATATCCCTAGTATAAATAAGCTAAACATTTATGTATTCAATTAGTACATTTAAGTTATAGTTCAACTGAATCATATAATTTACATGTTAAAAGACACCTTAAAAAGTGATTAACAAAGAAGTTTCAAATTTTATTGTCATTCTTGATTATTCTACTCAATTCGCTGCAGATACCATGAATGTCATCTTTCCTAGTAAAAGGGACAACTTTTCCTCAAGATCTAACCTTACTGTCTTTCAGTAAGGGCCACTGCTCAAAAAGAAAACAGGAATGTTAACATTTTTAACTTGCTACAGAAGTTCGACAATGTACAAATATTTGCACATCGGTAACGCCACAGAATTTGAACAATTTGACAACAACGAAATTTTCTTATCAGTTGTAGCTTATTCTAATTTCCACTTGAAAGAGAAACCACTGAAAAAATACTGTAAGTCTCGGGGTAGCTTAAAATACATTAGCAGGAAAACTGTACTTGATGGCACAATGTCAAAAGTATGGAAAACAATTTATCTAAACAAGCGGGAAATGTTTCCAATGACAGCTACAAACTTACCTGCTCCAGCACATCTAACTTTAACTCGAGTTTGCTGAGAACCACGTCTCCACCCCATAGCGAAAGCTGTAGGTCCGAAGGCTTTAAATTCTTGATATAGCGATTCACATAGCTCATTAAAATTGGAGTAACATAGGACTCCAGCATATTTCAAAGTTAGAAGTCCAAGTCAAATGCTGAAACGGGTGAAGACAGAAACGTTAGAACTCACTCAAAGGTACAGTGAAAGAAAAAAAGAAAAACCTATTTCTAAAGAAAGGCAGAAAGCGGACTCTCGCCTAGAGCAGAAGATCCTAAAGTGGTCTCCAGGCTCCAGCTACAAGTCCGCCACCGGAATCTCTCGCCTCACCTCACCCGACGAGCAGAGGAAGAGGCGGTGAGGTGAGGAGACCGGGTGCCTGAAGTGGGAGAAGCGGCTCCTTTGGCCCGCTGCAGCTCAACCACACAGCAAGGCCCTGGGCTCCCGGAACTCAGCTGGAGCTACGGCCGTAAAACCGGAGATGGAGCCGGGCCCCTTCCCCTCCCGCGCCGCCACGGCCACCACCCTCAGCTGACACTCACGCTGGGCTGCGCCGTCCGGTCTTCCCCCGCGTACCTGGCGCCCGCCCCCAGCGGCGGCGGCGCAGCTGGTGCACCACGCAGCTTCCGGGTGTGCGCCGCAGAGCGCTCAAAATAAACTGCCCGCCCCCCACGCGCGTGACGCGCGCGCCCCCAAGGCCACTCGGCAATGGCCCAGTCTGACTGGATTTCCTAGGCCGTCCAAGATATTTAGTGCCTCTTCTCGGGAAACTCACACTCAGCTAACCCGTGCCCCCTTTCTGACCCTGCTGGTGATGAGGATATGCCTCTAGGAAGTGCCCAGGGGAGGGGCGGACCCGTAAAGTAGAAACACCCGAGACCCGGAAGTTGTGCTCGGGCGCGAGAGGTGGCTCCTGCGAGAGGAAGAGCGCAAGCTTCCGTGGCGGTTCCGCGGGTGGGCTTCAGCTCGCGGGGAAAAGAGGCAGGCCCGTTTCCTAAAGAAAGACAAGGCATTGTTTGCGTTGGCAAACGGAAACCTGGGAAGAACGTGGGTTCCGTTAGGAGGAGCGATTTAGGAGACTGATTTAATTTAAGCCCAACTGGCCAAGGAAGGAGGTGGGGAGAAAATTGGAAGGATTAGTAATGGATAGTTTTGGCGAATACCTTTACATAAAACTTGGAGACAAGCTCTCGCGTTTTGTTAGTTTTCAGAAAGTGTTGGTGAAATAGATTCCCTTGTTTACTGCTGCAGGTGCAGGGAATTGAAGATGAGTGGCCAAAGAGAAGACTTCGGGCGTACTATTGGATTGCAATCCGCTATGGAACTTAAAGCCAAAAGAATGTCAAGATAGAGAAAATGAGGCTTCCAGCGACACTAGAAATGGCTGACAGAAAATGCAGAATTTTAAGGGCCGAAGTTGGTCATGATAGACTATATCACAACCATGTAGAACCTTGCAAGCTGACAAAGGCAAGCAATGTAATACTTGGAGAATATACATTGGGCTTATAGGAACAGCATCATAGGATGTGCTTTAATTTTTTCTCGTATTTTTTGGTAATCTTTGAAGAAAACACCTCCCACTGCGTTTTGAAAACACACATAAAATTATTCAGAATCCACCTATGCCTAACGCTTTTGCCTGAAATTCAAGTGTCAATATTTCTTGAAAAGCAAAAAGAAAAGAAAGAAAAATCCTACATGGAGATGCCAAAAATTTTAAGTTTCTTTTACTACTGGAGTAACGAAGTAAGTTTCACACGCACCAAAATAAAGCTAATTCAGAACAGCTTCTCAAAGCCTTAATGAGTAACTCAAAATAATTAGTGAATTATGAAAACTTGCTAAATTAGCCAAATAAGGTAATTTTGAAAAGCAAACAGGTTAAAGCCGTGACTAAGAGATTCAAATACAAAGAAAATTATTGTACTAATTGTATAGAAGCTCTCAGAGGTTTACACGAAGAGCTGAAAGTCTCATCTTGCTAGAGAAAGAAAAGGGATCTATTTTTCTTGTGTGGCAGTGAAATAGAACAGTATATTAGGAGAAATTAGCCAGCTATTTAAAGCAGCAGTGGATTTGTGACTGAGATGCTTAAGGAAAATAATATATGGAATCCTAAACTTTTGTTGTGGTGGTGGTCTGCTTCTCTGCCCCCTCCTCTCCCCCAGTCAACAAAAACTCGGAGAATTCCTGGCTTAGGAAAATCATCTGGGTGCTATTTGATTTTAATGATCAAAAATCAGTAGTTTTCAACTTGTGTTAGATTTTTGTAACACAATGTCAAAGCACTCAAGGTTAACCCTTTTTCACTAATAAATATTGCTCTGTTTTTTAGAATGTGAAGTGGGCCTCCTTTCCCAAATCTACTATTACAGGTCTTTTATTGTAAGATTTTCCCCCCACTTTTTTTTACATCTCCTGTAGGAGAGGAAGTTGGTTAGGCAGTAGTTCTATATAGGCAGGAAACTAAAGTTTCTCACCTTTGAATGAGTTGTTAGCTGTAGCAATTTTATAGATGTACTTTAGCAAATTGAGGAAGTCCCCCTGTATTACTACCTTGCTAAGAATTTTTTTCATGAATGAGCTTTAGCTTTTACCAGATGTGGGCTGGGGAGATGGCTCAGTGGAATAAGCACTTCCCTGGCAAGTGCAAAGGCCTGAGTTCAATCCCTGTTTCCACCAGAAAAAAAAAAAAAAAAAAGATTTTACCAGATGCTTTTTGTGCAACTATCTTAGTTACTTTACTCTCATTGCTGGGACAAAATACCAGATGTCCAAAAGGAAAGAAATGCTTATTTTGTTTCTGGAGGATTAAGTCCATAATCCATTGGCTCCAAGGCAGAGTCATGTGGCAGAGGAGCAACAGTTCATAGTGGCAGAAGACAGCAAAAGCAACATCTCTTTCTCTCTGGTGTTTTGTATGCAGGCTACCCACCCCAAGGTGTGTATAGCACTCACACCCATACCCAGCATTAGACCATGAAAAAATAACAAACTCTAGAAGCCTGCCCCCTATGACTGTATAAGGTTTTAGGGCACCTCTAGACACAAACCATGATAGCATCTATTCATTTGAGCATGTGATTTTTCGTTAACCTTTTGATGTGTTGTGTTATATTAATTGATTTGTGCATGATAAACCTGTACCTGCAATAAAGCTCACTTGTGCTACTTAGCTTTCTGTAGCTATGACAAAATGCCTTAGATAATCAAGGAAATTTTTATTTTGGGTCAGTTTGAAATGAGTAACAGAAATTTCATTTCTAGTCAGTTGGCTCTGTTGTTTTGGGGCCTGTGGCAATGCAGAACACAGCAGAGCACCCATGAAGCAAAGTAGCTCAACACACAGCAGTTGGAAATCAAAGTAAAAGGAAGAGGCTGAGATCCCAATAGTGCCTTCAGGGGCAGGCACCAGTTGCCTAACTTCTTCCAGTCTACCATCTCCCAGTAGCACAACTTTGTGACCAACCCTGGGGGACAATTAGGATTCAAATCCTGGCAGTCATAGGGTATAAATTTTATGCATTGTTGGATTTGATTTGCCAATATTTTGTTGACATTTTTGTATGCTCTGCTCATGAGGGGTATTGGTTTCTATTTTCTAATATCTCCTAGTTCTGATATAGTAATGTTACAATAATTTAGGAAGTGCTAATTCATTCCTCTGCTTCTATCTTCTGATAGATTATAGGAAATTGGTATAATTTCTTCCTTAAATATTTTCTGTTATTCATCACTGAACTTCTCTATGCTTAAAATTTTCTCTTTTAGAAGATCATTATTAACTCAATGGCATCATTTTATTACAGTATTTTTGATGTCCAGTATTTTTTCTCTTCATAGAATTTCTATTTTTCTGTTTACATTATCAGACTTTTTACATGATATCTACTTTTAACATATTGATTAGTTTTTTTAAATTCCTGATAATTTCTGTCATATCTGACTTTGTTTTTGATGCTTGTTATTCAAACTATTTTTTGCCTTTTAGTGTGCCATGTGATTTTTTTTTCTATTGTTGAAGCGCTGGCATGACATATTAGATAGGTAAAAGGAACTGCAGTTAATAGTCATTTAGTAACGTGGTAAGAGGATGTTGGGGGAGGGGCATTCTATAGTCCTAAGATTAGGTCCTGTCTTGGGCTAGAATTGGGTATTCCTTTCTCCTGATTCATTTAGTCTGATTAAAAGAAAAACAAAAAAAAAAAGTATTAAACAAAAAAGAAAAACAGCAGGTCAGACTCCAGTAAAATAGATTCTCCTGAGGCAGACACTGTAATAACAGAATACTGTGGCTTATAACAAAACAGTTAAATTTCCCCTCTCCCTACAGGAAGCAGTAGGTATTTTCCCTGTTAGTCACTGAAAAGATTAGCTAGACATCTAGGAAACAACCTAGAAACAGTGGAGCTCTCTCGTGACTGGGCCCACCTGGTGTTTTTAACTCCTAGACTTGTTCACACTGAATCTTAAGTAATTTTGTCATCTAGAATTTAGATTTTCTTGGCACTGGCTCCAGTAGAGGTTTCTGCTATGATAATGTAATTCTCTGTACTCAGCTGTCATTCAAATTTTGATGACAGTGGTTTGCACTGTGATCTCACTCCTCTGACAATTCTAAGATGTGGATTTTCAGTTTGTTCAGCTTTTTTATTTGTTAGAATGGAGAGGCCACTTCTAGCCTTCTTAAATGCCAGACCAGAAATTAGAAATCTCTAAATGAAGTTTTACTTGAATGTTATTTAAAAGATTGAAAAGTGTAAAGAAAATCTTTTTTTTCCTAGTTCTATATTTTATGTAGTTGTAGTGTATATGTGAAATGCAGGCCCATTTTACATATTATTCAAACAGTATGTGATACTTAATATATTATGGAAATGACTAACAATTAAATGGTAAACCTATTTTCCTTTACCTCCTGTGCACATAGTTGGATTATATTCAGGTTCTCTTACATTCAGATGTTGTCAGGTTACTACATTCTAACCACTTGAGATGCACAGACAGGTCTGGTTCATAAACACCATCTGTATGAATCTTAGTGCTTTATATACCATGAAGATGATGAGATGCAGGGGACGCCAGATCTGAGGACATGCCAGGGGAAAAAAAATGAGAGACTGATGCTATAAATCATTGCCTAGAACAATGGTGACAAACCTATGTGCTGAGCAGGCTGTTTGTTATCATTAAAAACTGTAAAATGGGGCAGGGGAGATAGCTTGGTGGCCCTGCCTGGCAAGCATAAGGTCCCAAGATTGATTCCCAGTATGGACCCCAGAGCCAGATGTGGAGGTGCACACCTGTAATCCCAGCAGTGGGGAGGCTGAGACAGAAGGATCTCTAGGAGTCCCAACTGCATAATGAGACCCTGTACAAAAAAAAAAAAAAAAAGACTCTGAAAGGTTCACCATCTGTGGCCTGGAGGAAATCAGTCTGCTTATTAGTAATATATAGTAAGATTTCACTTGATTGAGAAATCAACTACTATTTAAATTGTAGAAACTGGAAGTTTATCAGAGCAGGAAGCATTATTTTAAATAAACAGATAGATAATACACATGAACTGAACTTAATTCAACCATGTTATTTTAAGAATATTAAAATCATAATTTGATTGACTCAAA